CACCCTGCCCAGCTAATTTATTATTTCTTTAAGTGCATAGTGGATTTCCTTTCAGAGAAACACAGAGTGGCCCACTTGAAAAAGATCCTGTTTAATAATGCAGTGGGACATAAAGGATTTGAGTTTCAAGTAGCCTGTAGTAACCCAGAAGAGAAAGAGGAGTGAAGCCCCAGCTCCCAGTCCATTGTAGACAACAAAGCTGCCTTCCCCTACTGGGGCCAGGAAGAGGTGCTGCAGACTGTGCCACGGCCATGCCCGAGACGGGAAGACCTGTGTCTGTGGGGCATCTGTGCTCCACTCTCTGACCACTTTGTTCCCTGATTTTGTCATTCATTCATTCCCTACTCAATCGTTTGTTCAAACATTTGTGTATCCACCCACCTATTCATTGGTTGAACATACACCAGGATAACAGGATTCAACAGTGAACCAGACACAGTCCTTGCCCTCTACGAGCTCATTCTGAGGGACAGGCCAGCAAGAAAGCTGAATGATGATGCAGGGGATGCCAGGTGCTGGGAAGAGTAGCTGCTGTTTGGACAAGTCAGGAGAGGCTCCTAGGAGAGAGGCTGAGATAAGGCTGTTTGTAGGTGGAGAGAGAGCCTGTGTGTGTGTGTGTGTGAGATAACAGGAGCTGGGGGGGCGGGGGGAGCTGGGGGAGGGGGAGCTGGTGGGGAGGGGTGCTGGGGGGATTCTAGATAGGAGAACACAATTCGGACACATGGACAAAAGACAAAATGGAAAGCAAGAGTGGCTCATTTTGGGGAAATGAAGATTGTAAGAAACCATTTAAAAAGGACTCAGAGGAAGGTTAAGGAGCTAAGACTGTCAGCAGGGGCTATCTTTCAGGGTACATAGAGCGTGGGGAGGTGAAATAAAGGTTCCAATTGGGCAGGATCCAAGCCCACAAATCAAACAAAATGGCAGGCAAGTGGCCGGAACATCTCAGGCATATTTCTCACAGGTTAAAGACTCTGAGAGCCCTTGACATCAACCCTCAGCTGCAGAAAGCAGCCCTTGGTACAGTCCAGGCTCCACAGGAGAGTTTTCCCTAGATCTAGGATGCAATCTGGGTTTCAGTGGTCCCAAGTCAAAGGTCCCAGGCCAGACCAGCATCCCTAGAATAAAGGAAGGTCTTTGATTTCATTACCCTCTCCACTTGGAAAGCTCAAATCGCTGCTGTCAAAACCCCATACAGCCAGGCATGGTGGTGCAGGCCCGTGATCCTAGCAGCTCAGGAGGCCGAGGCAGGAGGATGGCAAGTTCAAAGCCAGCCTCAGCAACAGCAAGGCACTGAGCAACTCAGTGAGACCCTGCCTCTATATCAAATGCAAATTAAGTCTGGGGATGTGGCTCAGTGATCAAGTGCCCCTGAGTTCAATCCCCAGTATCACTCACCCCCCAAAAAGGTCTCATACAGCCCTCATGGCTCTGTTCCAGTGCACCTCCCCATGAAGCCATTCTGGAAATGATCTTCCTTCCTGCTTACCTGTGAGACCACATGTCTGTCATTCCATCCTGAATTAAAGGCATCAGTGGATGTGCTGTCCCAATGATACCAAGCTTTATATCCTACAAGTCTGTAGCCCTATGAGAAAATCAAGCTATGCTCATCAAAAATGGCTTGCAAGACCCCTCTGGGCCTCTTTCTGAACAGAGGACCTGGGGGCTTGAGAGAAGCAGAGAGGGAAGACAACGGAGGGCCAGACCCTCCCTCTCTCCTCCACACCCCAGGGAGGCTCTGGAATTGTGTTTTCCCTCTCTGTTTTGGGTAGAGCCTGTGTTTGGTCCCTGGAGGGGCAGCCATTACTTTCCTCAAGGTTTCAAGGGGGTTGAAGAGCGTCTCATATTTCTCTGTTTGGCAAATAGTTAGTCCCCGGCCTCCCCTCCCAGGAATCAGGAATCCCAGAAATTGAAGCCAGTGGGACTCAGGTTTCTTTCTGAGGAGGGGCTACTACAGCAGATGCCAGTCGAGCCCAGGAAATCCAGTCAGGAGAGTGTACAAATGGGTTTTCTAGGAGGAAGGAGGGTACAAGCCCGAGAGACAATGCCCTAATATGGCAGAAGCAGGCTCAGTTCCCGGCCACAGCAGAAAACCCTTTCTTTCAAAGCTTCTGGAATCCTGGAGACCAGAGGCAGCCATTGTGCTCTCCGCTGTGGGCACGTTTCTCTTTGGGTGGGGGCAGGAGAAAGCAGGAGGCAGCTTCCCACTCTGGAGAAGGGGGTAGGAAGGAGTAAGTCCCAGCTGAGAGACGCAGGCCCAGCCCAGATGCCAGCAGACAGGGAGCGGGAGCAGGAGGAGGGAATGGGAAGGAGCCAGGCTTCTGAACACAGGCGTGGAGATGGCAGGCAGACGCTTACAAGAAGAGCAGGGCTGACACCTGAATCGCGCTGGCTTCCCCCAGGAGAACACTTTAATGAGGCTCACAGCTGTAATATCACAGAACGAGCATTAACAATGCTAATTACCTAAAGTTTAGCCCGAGAACATTCTCAACCCACCCGCCTTGGGGACACACTTTTGTTCTGGCCCTGCTGGGCTCAGGCTTATGACAAAGCTGTGACAGCTGAGCATTAGGGTAGGCCGAGGTGGGGGTGGAAGGCTAGTGAGCACAGCGGGCTGCAGGAACTCCAGGAGAGGATGAAGGAAGACTGGTGGGGACATCAGTGTCCCTCCACTGATAAGAGAAACCCAAAAGGGAGAGTCAAACACCCCCCACCCCCGCCTTGGAGAAAGCTGGGAATGGACTGCATCCATTTGTACCTGGCAGAGGCTCGTGGGCCCTTCTTATCATCACACTGCCTTCTGCAGCCTCAGAGGACATCCCTAGTGCCCCTCCCACCCTCTGGCACCCAAGATGGTTTCCAATCAGAGTTGACTGTTTTTGTTTTTTTAAAGCAACAGAACCACCAATAAAAGACAAGAGAAAACCAGAGCTATGCTGGCCAATGGTTTGAGCTGAAAATTGGAGCTCAGGAAACTACTTTCTACCCCTATCCCCAGGGCATCTGGGCATCTCCAAAGTCCATCCCCAAATCCTAGGCTTCTGCAGAATTAACTTGGAAAATCACTCAGAACAACCTGAGACTCCGGCACCCTGGGTCCCATGCCACACCAAGGGGATGAGTAGAGATAGGTTCTGTTGGGTACCCCACAGGGCCTCTGGGGAGATCCAGGAGCTGAAGGACAGGTGTGGTCATTCATGTGCACGTACCCTTGATCTGCATGGCTGCTTACCCAAACCCACCTGAATCTAGAGCCGGGTTTGTCAGACCTCATGCCTGTATCTATAAAAGTCACCCAGCTAGATAAAATAAGACCTAGAACTGCGACTCCTCTCACAGTACCTCTTCTACTAACCCAAGGAGGAGGGGAACATGTTCTATCCCCATCAGAATCCTTAGACTGTCCCTACCAGGAGCAGCAACATCAACCTCTTATCTCTGGTCCCTTCTTCTTAGTCCTCCCCTCCCCACAGAGGAAGGACCTTCTGCTCCATGTCTTCTTGAACATTAATTGGATGGCTTCAGGTTTGCCCTCCCTTATAAATAATGGAAATTTATTTCCCACAGTTTGGAAGGTTAAGAAGTTTAGAATCATAGTGCCAACAGATTTGGTGTCTGGTGAGGGCCCCAATCCTCATATCCTTCATCACACGCTAACTTCACATGGTAAAGGGGTATTGGGGGTCTCTTCAGAGCCCACTTTTAAATGGACATTAATACCAGTTATGAGGGTTGCTAATCACCTCCCAGAAGCCCCACCTCCTAATACCATGACCTTTCAACATAAAGATTTAGGGGGATCTAATATTTTGATCATAACAGACCGGGATGCAACGCCCGGGCTCCCAGGGGTTAGAGCAGAAGCAAGGCCAGCCCTCCGTGCAGATGAAAGCCCGTACGTGGGCATTTGCATGATCTTTTCCTGTCTGGCCTTTATGAGCCTAAGTCCCCTGCTGCTGGAATCAGCAGTTCAACATTGCAAACCCAGCTGTCACATAAGGCCACTTTGGGTAAACGCCTGGCCTTTCTCCTCTGGCCCCTGGCTGCAGGGAGGGCTAAAACCTGCTCAGTGGCCCACATCTGCAGCAACAATTAGTGGCTCCTCTGCTAAAATAACAGGCCTACATGATGCTGAGACAAGCAAGACTGAAGGCACGTGAATGGCTTCTTGAAGAACAGCAGAGCACACGGGAGCAAGCAGCTCGGGGGAAGAGCTAAACTGACTTGCTCTCCCCACCCCCGCCATGCCCACCCACATCTTAATGAATAGCACGAATACATTCCCACCAAGCCCATTGCTCTTCTTGCTCCCCCAAAGGCCCCCTGACCTGGCCTATCATACACCATAATATTGCCTGTTTGGTGCCGGCTAAGCAGATTCTGGAGACTCCTAGTGGAGGTGTACCTTCTGTGAGGCCTCTTGTTCCTTGCCCAGTGAAGTCATCTCCCTGCCTTTTATGGAAGGCCGTTCCTGACTGAGATGGAACCAGCTGGTGTCTAGAAAGTTCCCATCTAGAGCCCGCTCCCCCATCCCATCCCCCACCACGTTTCCCACCTCCGCCATTAGTCATCTCTGAATCATTGGCCTCTCCCTCTCCAGAAGTTTCTGTGGGCTCCCTTTGGAATGCCCCGTGATCTTCTCAGAGGAGTGGGCACACTCCTGCAAATGAAGCTCTCTAGGTTGAAATTACGCCCCCTGCTGTGCCCATGAAAGCCGCCCTGACATGGCTTCCCAGGAGCTTATGTGTGGTGTGATGGGGTCAGAATTCCATCACCAAGCAGCAACTGAGACCTGAAAGGTGTTGCTCCTGGAGTCTCCTTGCAAACACGTTAAGCACCAGGTGCTTCTCTGGAACCGGATACCCATGCTACACACCCAAACACAGTCCCACTGTACACCCCAACATGGAATTTGTACATTGTGGACCTCACACAATTTATACATTTGCCATTCATGTTCTAAAGACTGGGAGGAAAATAACTAAGAGCTCCCAAGAGTTTTAAAGCCTTTTATTTGTTTACACATTCTCTAAATTGCAGACAAAAGATTTGCTACATGGATAGTTAACACTGCTAACCAATCACAGAACAAGATACTAACCACAGTAAGAAAGAGACAGGGCGTTTGTGACTCAGTCTTCATGAACGTGCAAGAGTCCACTGAAGGGCTGGGACATCCAGTGGCTCCAAAGATAGAGGCTGCTTGACACCCACATTGAGTCTTGACCTCTCCAAGGCTCCACTGCTGGAACTAGATCAAGACGGGAAGAAGGGCAGGCAGGTGGTGGGTCCTGGCTCATGGGCAGCCTGTCCAGCCAGCCTTGGGAAGGAAGGAAGAGCAGGTGCTTCTTCCCCCAGGCAAGTCCTTGTTCTTCGAGCCGAAATCCAGATGTGGGCTGTTTCCAACCTGTAGATTCTCCTGGAGACATTCACCATATGCCAGTTCTCTGGGAAGTCACCAAACCAGAGTATCCCCTTAGGGTGGTGGGAGATGTGGCACAGCCTCATCTCCAATACTGAAACACCAAGAGGTCTCAATAGATCCCTTAGACAGGGCAGGACATCACTGCACTTCACACTTGGAGCTACAAAGGAGTGGGAATTGACACACAGGAGAAAGGAGCATCCCTAGAAGACAGAGGACCAGAGTGGCACACACACCTGTAGACTGAGACTACAATCACATTACACCTGAAAGAGGAGGAGAGCTTGCAGAGTGGGGGATGGGGGCTTCCTGTTTGTTTGTTGCTATGGTTGCTTTTTAGAGAAGCCAAAGCAAGCCAAATGGAAATATCGTCTCCAGACCATTACACACAACTTCCCAGATCTGCAGCCCTTTTCTCTAACCTCATGAAAGCTGTGTCAGCCTCAGTCCTGCACACTGTAGCAAGTAGCTCAAGGCAAAACGTCTAGGTTGCTCAGTCAGCAAGAGGCAACGTGGTGTTAGGTCCTGAGGTCCAACGGGGAGAGTGTCCAAGGACATAAAAGGAAGACTCTCATTTGCAGGCATTTCTAGGGCTGGAGGCCAACTCTCTTGGCCATTCCTTTATGACTAAGAGTTTCAGAAGGAGCTGTGGTGGGTGGGTAAAAGAAAAGAAAGCCTGTAGGAGCCTAGGGGTGGGATGCTGGAATGGCTTCCATCTCTTGTACCCCCACCTGGAGGAAGTTGGTATTGCATCTACAAGTACACAGGCACCAGTGGAGGCCCAGTGATTGGAGATCATCAGAACATTTCCAGGGTCCCCTTCCCAAATGCCCCACACTCTCTGACTCAGCCCACCAACTTCCATGCCTTCCAAGAAACTTGTGCAGACATGAGCTTCCTCACAGGAGAGCAGGGCAGGTTTCTCCCCCATGGGACTTTCCTACCCCTAGACCCTCCTGCCAATATCCACCCAGAAGAACCCCAGGGTTCGTTAAGCAGGGGCAGACCTCACCAAAGTCACAGAGCAGAGGAATCATGGGATCAAGGGCCGTTGTCCACTGCTTAGGGGCAATACTTCCAGTCTGGCCTGGTTAGGATCCAACTTGAATGACAGTTCCCTCTCCTCTCCTGCTAGCAATAAGGATAAGGGGAGACTGGCCATTCGAAGAAGGTTAGGTTCAAAAGGACCTTGCCCACAGGCTTTTAAACAGATGGGTAGATCAAACCCTGGAACTCCCTTCAGGTTCTCAAGCACTTTAGAATGGAACTCACAGCCAAATCCCATGTCTCTGACTCTCCATAGAAATGACCAAAATCACCTTGCTAACAGCCAGGTGCTGTCCAGATCCCCCAAACAGTACTTCCCCTGGGCCTCCTCACAGAAAGGCCACAGGCCTCTTTAGGCCAGCCCTGAGCTGACCTCTCCACGTGGGCCGGAGCATGCCTCCCCCAAGTCAGGCATTTCACTTGCAAGTGAGCCTGGTGTGGCTTCTTCAGGGAACAGCTAAAAGCTGAAACCTGGCTGTAATGTGTGCAGAGAAAATGGAGAAGAAATAAATGGTTTATCCGATGTTGTCGATAGAGGCAGCTGGGAGTCAAACGAACCCGGAAGCCAGAAGCTGATGAGTGCCTGGCCAAAAGCAGGGGGAGGAGGTTAACAGAAAACATCTCTGATGTTGGACTTCATCTACACACCCACCAGCCATGCCAGAGGCGGGCTCCCCAAGGATGTGTCAACCTCGACGGGGTCTCTGTGGGAGACCACCCAATAAGGGCATCAGTCTGTACCCCGCCGCTTCCTACCCTCTCTGCTTTCTGACCATCATGTGGGTCACTTTCCACGTCTGCAATTGCACCTGCCAATTGCACCTCCTCCCACTCTTCCCAGGAATTTGAAAGCAGCACTGGAGACCCAGCCTCAGATTCCCTGGCTGCCTGGCACCCTCCAAGCATGAAGATGACCTCGGGAACTCCCATGCTAAGGATGTTTACCTTCCCAGGGCAGCCAGCACTTGGAAAAACAGAAAAGCGACTAGGCTGAGATCATCTGTGTTCCTCTCCCCAACTAGTGTGGAAATAGCTAGATGTTTTCACGTGCTACTCTTGTACAGATGAACGGGCATCCAGAGACCTGGATACACACAAACCTTCCTCACTGGCACAATACTTCAAATGTGATCAGGATTCTTTGGGAAAGCTAAGTTTTATAGCTGAAAAGCAACTTGGAGGCAGAGCCAGGGTGAGGTTTTATTTATCTAGCAACCACATAAGACCTAGCACATTACTTTGCTCACAGTCAAGACTCTGCCAAATGTCCTAGCCAGTACCAGCCTGCCCAGCGATCCCTCTCTGAGGGCAAGAGATGTGCTTATTTGCTCTCAGAGGAAACACACCCAAGAGTGGACCAGTATGGCAGATGAGTAGTGGACGAGTAGGATGGACACACTCCCTTTTCTGGCCAGAGGAGCACAGGCGCTCTCAAGCACCTGGCCGTTTAGTGAAAATGTGTGGTCTGCCTGCTTTCCCAAATGCCACCTGTCCCAGATGCACTAGTAAGCCAGGACTCCCTGCCTACCGCCTCTGCTCAGAGATTATCATTCTATATTTTCATGCTCTTACTCACATATTATCTAGCAATGTTTCTTTTGCTTTTTTCTAGTCCCTAATTTAGTTCTCTTCAACTACATGTTGAAAACGCACAGGGGTATATTTTGTTTTTCTTTTATGCCACCGAGTCTTCCCACCACCACCCCACTCTTTAGCATCTAGCCATGGCAGGAGGGAAGGGAGGGGAAGGTATAGGGAAGGTAGAAGGCAGGAAAAGAAGAGAGCAAAGGTCTCAGTAGGGAATAAATATGAAAGAGCAAAGTCAATAAAAACCCAGCCCCAATTCTAGCCATAAAGTCATTGCATCCCTTTGATAATGCAATCAAGACTTTTGTTTTGTTTTGTTTTGTTTTTCCAAGTCCTCAAGGATGGCCAAACATCTCTCCCAAAGAAGCAGAAGTGAGTAGGGGAGAGATGGAGAGAGTGGAGGGAGCCAATGGTTTTTCAAGCACCAAGTCCCCTGTGTGACCTCTGTGGCTCTGCAGGGTCTGGGAGCTGGAATTCCTGTCTGGAGAAGGCCTTCGGGGCAGATGTATCTGGTCTGGTAGCTGCTGGCTCTCCCTCTCATCCTGGAGCAACACGGAGAGCTCTCTTTAATTCATCAAGCAGGGTGTGTGTGTGTGTGTGTGTGTGTGTGTACCTGTATATCTCCGTTCTCATCAATATTAGTAATATAATACAAATTACAGGGATGCAGAGGCGCGAGCCAATGAAATGCAGAGGGCGTAACTATAACCTGGGGGTCCATGGGGCTGTGCTGCTGAGGTAGTACCCAGGCCCCAGGGACTCACAGGTTTCCCCCATTGCGTTGCACACAGGGACCTCTTTCCTGCCACGGCAGTGCTTATGTGCCAGACTGAGTTGGTGCCGACCTGAATGGCCATCTTCCTCGCTGCCTGGGCTAGAGGTCATTATTAGTAATTATATCTCTGTCCAAGAGGATTCTGGCTGCCTGCCAGTCCCAGCCCTGGCTTCCTCTGGCTTGCCCTGGGAAATGTCACCCTCAGCACAAACACTCCTTTCTCATGGTGGGGCCAAAGGGGGGGAAACCCTGGAATGTCCCACTGTCAAGGCTGCTGGCCCCACAATATGAGGCTGAGGCTGGAGCAAAAGAAAGTGGGAATAGAGTCTGAAACCGAGGGGCATCCCCCTGCTCTGACCCTGTGACATCCCTCAGGGCAGGCGGGGACACCCCCCCCTCCCCCCAGGCCTGAGGGGCAGGCAAGATTCACCGGGAACCCAGAGAGAGGCTCTGGGAAATCCACTCACTTCCAACACTTGCTCCTCACCGGGAGCTCCCTGTTCTTTCTGGGAATGCACTGAACGCAGGACTGGCAAAGTGGGACCATTCCCGCCCCCTGGGTTTCCTGGAGGGACTTCCTTTCTGCCTCTCTTCCCAGCAGCCTGAGTATGGAGAGGGGGCTCGGCAGCCATGCTTTCCTGCGAGCAGCTGCTGAGATGCTCATAGGAGCTCCCCCTCTGTCTGCATCTGTCCACCCTCCCATGTCCAGGGTGCTGAGCAAGCGGCACCCACATCCTTCTCTCTCCTCCTCCCTCTAAGAGAAAGTACCCCAGCTGTCCCTCATATCCACCAGAGGCTCTTCAGCTTCCTTAGAAAAGGATTCCCAGCTCTCAAAGCCCTGAACCAACCCATCTTTTGTACATTTTCTACACTTAGGGCAAGTGGTGGTGGCTTCTGGCTGCGAACCATAAATAGATCTCAAGCCCTGGGCATGCTTAGAAATGGGGAAGGAACCCCAAATTGAAGACAATCACAGGGACCACCCTTCTGACTGCATATTAGGACAGTTAAGGTTTGGGTGGGGAGATTGCAGGCCTGAGACAAATTGAAGTGTCTGTTCCTTCCCACCACCCCCCCACCCCGTTCCTCACCTGGCATGCAGAAAAAACTGAGCTCAGCTGAAAACCAGAAGCATCCTTCAGGGGTGGGAGCAAAATTCCAAAAAGGGTAACACAAGCAAGGAACAGATTCTCCTTTGCTGAGCTCCAGATGCCGACCACACTGGCCAGGGCCACTATTCACTGCCCAGCTGCTGGCCTCCTGGACTTGGGGTATTATGCCTTCTGGTAGCAGTGCCTAGAACCCCACCACTCCCTAAGCCTGCAGGCCAGGATCTAGCCCACCCTTTGCTGCCATCTGTCCCCCAAATCTGGCCAATCTAGACCCGAGGGCCTCCAGCAGCTTATCTCAGGAAGTCAGAATGACACTTGTCCAGAGGAGTGGGGAAATGCCCGGGGATCTGTCAGGCGGTCCCTCCCACCTCCAGGTGAATGAGGGGTACTGCTCCCGTCTGCTGTGCCCTCAGAAGCCCCCCTATCCAACAGGGAGCCAGAGACCAGAGGCCTTGAGAAACAGGGGCCTGGTTCAGTGTCCACTGTGGGCAAAGGTTTGGGTTTTTTGTTTGTTTTGTTTGGGGTTGTGGGGGGGGGTTGTTTTTGTATAGGATCACAAGCCTGAGAAAAAATGGGTTATGAAAATTCGTCACCCTACCCCTTGCTCTCTGGTTATCTGCTCCAGGATTTTTCCCTAAGGAAACCAGGTGCCCACCTTGTTCTGTCACAGGCTTAATGGCCTCCCCAAGGGCTGTCCCCTCCCTTTTCCTTATTAGGCTTATCTCTTCACCTCCTTCCTCCAGCCTCCCCACCCTCCCCACTTCCTCAGCTTCTCCAGGGAGGCCAGCTCACTAAAGGTGACACCAACTGCTGCTCCTTAAAGGAGCCAGCCCTGGACTGGTGGCATCTCAGTGGGAGTGTGAACCTGGATCCATCCGGGTCAGCCCACTTCTCCCCTGGACTGTGACTTCAGAACACCCTAAGGAGGAGTTGAGGGAGGGAATCCACAGAGGAAGGAGGAGAACTGTCCTCTCAGCACCTTCAGAACAGGCTGAGAGCCAGCCTAGGGGACAGGCAAGGAGGTCCTCAGGCCCTGCCCTGGGCCACCAGCCAAGCTTTGCCCCTCACACGTGTGGCTCAAAGAGGAGACTAAAAGCCCCTTTTCTCTGCATCCTGGAGCCTAAGGTTGTCAGTAATCTTCCTTCCACACACAGAAGAGCACAGGTCTCTTGCCCTCGAAGGAAGCGTAATAACACCATGTCATTTTTCTTCCTTGAGATATCTGGGCTTTTTAGGGGGAAAGCTGGAAAGGAATCGTGCTGCATTTAGAGCAGGAAGATAAAACTGTACCCGGAGTGTTACTCCCCTGGGCACCATGAAGCCTCCCCTGGGAAACCCGGGCCCTCCCCACCTTGAAACCCGGATCTTCCCCAGCCCGGAAGGCCTCGGGCCTCCCACATACCCACAGCTGTCTGAGCCTGAACCACAGGAAGGGCTGCTCTCTGCAGCCTGCCTGGGCTTCCTACCTGGCCCTGGGGCAGTGGCGGAGCCGGGAGCCTCGGGACCTGCTGGGTCCTGCCTCAGGGGCTGCAGGTCTGTGGAATGGAAATCTAGCAGGGGCCTCGATTCTATCTCCTCACAAAGTTGCCTGTTCTGGATTTCCTGCAGGCCCCAAAAGCAGTGTTTCCAAAATGTCTGTAAGGGAACAGGATTTCTTCTTCCGGTTCAGATCCTGTAGCCCCACCTCTCTGGTCTGCAGAAGCCACAGTCTAGGGGTGAAATGGAGCAAAAGGGCCCTTTCTGTTCCAGGGATTTGAGCTGGAGGCAACAGAGTCATTATCTCCACTCTGTGGCCTTAGCATCAAATGACAGTAGCTCTCATGGAGAGGGGACCTTCATTCTACCAGGCCCACATAGGATTTTTCCAGCTTTATCCTAATCCCTGCAATGACCTGGCTTCTAGATAGACATCTTACACCCACCTTACTCCTTGGGCAATGAGGTTCAGAGAAGGAAAGCCACTTGTCCAAAGTTAACCAGCTAAAAAGAAGCAGAGCTGGGCTTTAAACCAAGGTAAAAGAGAGTGTTATACTGACCTGAAATGATTGACACCCTCTGTAAAAGCCAGTTTGCTATTCCAAGCTGGTTAACCTTGGAGGTAGGGACAGGATCTTGAAGTCCTGAGTCCGATGGCAAATCCTTACCTCCCACCAGAGCCCATGCAGCCCACAGTCTCCTTGATCGAGCCCTGGCCTAGTGGTCCTGACCACAGGCAGCCTGGTTCTTAAAACCTAAATCCCCTCTGGTCAAAAGGGAGATTCAAGAAGGCATCTAACTTTGGCTGTCATACAAGACAAACATGGAAGGCATTTGGAGTTCCTCTCAGACACAAGCTCAATTCTGCAGTGGCTTTTAAATAACATTATGCTTTTTAAGACACCCAGTGTCACTGTGGAACAGGCAGGCAAGAGTTACCACCTCAATTTTACAGGGGTGAGAGGGACTGAAGTTCAGAGATTAAGTGACTTGCCCAAGGTTGTACAGCTATTTAACGGCAGAGGTAAAACTAAAACCCTGATCCTTCACATGCACCCTAGGATTCCAGTTTGTTCTCAGGGACTCAAAGAATGAGACCAATTTGAAGTTTACCAACACCTTCCTTTTTCCAGTGCAAAAGATGGTAAAGGTGACTCTGGAGACTTCTGTGGTACCCTGACAGATCCACCTGCTTTGCTATACCCACTTTCTGGATGGAGAAAATGAGGGCTCCAAAGAGGAGGGAGGTTGGGTTGGGAGGAGAGTAAAGAAACACAGTAGGGAACTACTCAGAGCCCTGACCAGACCAGCATCCTCAGGCAAGCTCCAGTGCCTCACCCTGGCTGGAGAGATCTGTCCACCCTCAGCTTCTGTGCCCACAGCAGTCTTGGTAGGAGATAGAACAGGGCACCCTTCATCTGCATTTCTTTGGGGAGCAGATTCACACATGCTCCAAAAGAGGGCCTGTCGAGTCGCAGAACCAGAACTTTTGGGTTTGGATTTACGCCTTTAACTTTCAAGTCACTGTGGCATTTGGGAACATTGGGGAACTTTTTTTTTTTTTTCCTAAAACTAGTTTAAAATGAATCTCAAAGCCAATAATCACCATTTAAGGACACCCTGCTTTGGGGTTTGTGGGAGGAGAGAGATCCAGAGTAGTGAGAATAGGAAATGCGCCCCTCTGCTCTGATGGGACCCTCAAATCCTCCCAGGGCCTTCCAAACCCAGATGGGCCCAGCAGCCTGCAGGAGGAATAAAATAGCTTTGGAGAAGATGGAAATCCCATCTGGACAGAGGCCCTTTAAATGAAATCATTATGTATGCATGTAACTCACCCTGAGGCCAAGGGGCCTGCAGGAGAGTGACCCTCAAGTCCCTCTGCAAAGGAATGGGGGAGACTCACACTGCCTGGCTGCGCGCCATGCTGCCCTGGATCCACTGGCCAAGAGCAATTTCCCCGGAGAAGAAGGCCCCTGCCAGGTCCCAGAGTGAACACCGCAGCAGGGTAGAAGTGGCCCAGCCAGCCCGAGTCTCCGGGGGCTTCTTCAGCAGCTGAAGGACTAAAAATAACCTGGGTCTTTGTTGTAAGCTGCTGGACCACAGAGATGGAGCAGGTTTCAGGGAAGCCGAGCAGGCGCGAGGGTCCCACTGACTGAGACCTGCCCTTTGGGTAAATGATTTTTCCAGAAATGTGTCAGTTACTGTGCTGTTGCTGCAATTCAAAGACAGTCTGATCCACTCCAGCCCACGGGGCTGTATTCCAACCGACAGTTCTCGGAATCTAGGCCTCCCCACCTCTTTCTTCTAGAAACATGTTTGTTTTATAAAACAAGAGTCCAGCTCATATGGGGGAGCTCAGGACACAAGAACAGCCCACAGGCTGAGGGTTCTGAACCACTGCCACCCGATCACAAATGATCACATCACCCTAATCATCTGCTGGAGTAACGACCTTCTCTCCTCCATCCTAAAGTTTCCAGTCAGGTCTCAATAGACAATAGCAAACCTACACCGTGGGGAAGGAAGAAATTGCTTGGGCAAAGGAATTGGTAGTGTCGCGTCGATACTGAAGGGGTTCTCAAGGCTGCGGTCCCTTAAAACCAACATTTGGACACTGGACTGGGTAGGCTTTGCTCACCTCCCAGTGCTTGGATCCCACCAGGGGAAACAAAACTAGGCCTCTAACCAGCTTGGTTTGAAGGCAGAGTCTGGACCATTTTTCTCTGTCCATGGGCTGTGGCTTGTCACCTCACAAGGCCTTGGCTCTGAAGGTCAAAGAACCAGTTTCTCCTGATGGATAACCAATACTGACTGGCCATAGCAGGACCTTAGCGTCATTCTCCCAATGTTTCCTCCCATCTCTCGGTCCCAAAACCCCCACCCCCCCATCAAGTGATAACACAGTGGATGAAGGACCCCCACCCCGACTGTGGAGACCACTGCTGGGGTTCTAGAAAGTACCACTTCCTCTTCACAGAGACCAAGGAACAAGAAGGGAGGTGGGGGTGGGGTCAAGTCTCCATCTTCAAGATGGCTTCTAGAATCCAAGTCTAGAAGTTTCCCCGTGAGGCTTGTGATGAACAACAACTTCTCCACGGCACTTCATTCCTCTGGTGAGAATTTAGGGTGAAGGGTGTAAGCTGGGGGTGAGGAGGATGTGCACAGATCTCTTGGAACACCATAGATAAAAAGCATCAAGTCACATGAGTGGTTGACGAGTGGTCACAAAAGGGCTTCCCTTAAATTGGAAACCCGTGGGAGGGGCGCAGTGCCAAGGTAAAAGTGAGAGGGTTCCACAGCGCTGGGGCTGGGCCTTGTTCTTCAAAAGTGCAAGATCCTTCTGGTAGAAGCAAGGAGGTGCTGGCTGAAGTACCATCTGTGGGGCAGGAGGTAAGTAGATACCGGGTCCTCTCGGTTCCCTGTGTCCACGCCCTTCTGTGACTATTCATTTTCCTCTCCGTTGGTCTGTCTGGATGTATGGGAGGAGGGCTCCATCTGGTTTAGACTGGGCTCTGGCTCCACCTCTCCAGCAGCAAGTCACATGCTGTGACCTGGGGCTCTAGGCCTGGCAGCCAAAGGCAGAGGCTTTCTCTTTGAGCAGTTCCCAGCATAAGTGGCAGCTCCAACTTCCTATAAGACACAAGATGGCATTAGTAGCATCCCCTCTCTAACTCTGGAGGCCCAGCCCGATGGCCCTAACTTCTTACAAACCCTGTTTTTCCTCAACGTTCATAAGAGGCCCAGTCTCCGTCCTGAAAACAAGCTGGCATCTGCCACTCAGCAGAAAGTGCGTGCTCAGAGGTGATCGGCTAACCCATCATAAAGACCCTCACTTCTTGGTCACGTCTCTTCACCCACATCTCTGGGCCTGGGCCATTTTTCCTGGATGCTCACACCTCCCCATCGTCTCAACCACCTGTCTCAACCTCTTGGGCCCTCAAGTTGGAATTTCAGCTGGTTGAAGTGTGCCTCAGTTTCCTCGTGCGTAACATGCTAGTCACAGTCGTACCTACCTCGTGGGGTTGTGATGATTAAATGAGACAAGACATGAAAAGCCCTTAGCTCAAGGCCTGCACCACAGAAAGGGCTCAAGAAGTGGCAGGAGGAGTAGCTGTTGTTGTTACTGTTGGCCTCATTGTCATTACCTTCTGGGGGCTCTGCCACTGGGGGATTTAAACAGTACATGTGATAGCCACGGTCACAGTCGTCGCAGAAGAGTAGCTGGTCCTGGCAGGATACAGAGCGGGCGGAAGGGAGGAGAGAGATTCGATTATTTGGGGCCAATAATCTGGCCCCCACTCATCCCTCCAGCCATGTTTCCAGAGATCAACCTCGCTGGGTTCCCCTTCCCAGGTGACTCTGGAGTCCTCATTGCCCCCTGGACATGGCTTGTGCTAGATTTCCCTCTCTGACTCCCAAGCTGTACACATCTTCTCCCCACCCTAGGGTCCTGCTCGATTCATACCTCCTCCAAGAAGCCTTCCTCAACTACCCACTCACATCCAAGTTTAAAGAGATTCCTTATTCTTCTAAACTCCTATAGCAAATAACGCCGCTTCCAAAGGGCAGAAAACTAATTTTATGCATCTTTCTATTTCCCATGATGATTGCCTCGTATATAGAAAGTACTTTAAATATTTGAAATTTTTAACTGAAGTCCTCCAGTCTCTACTCTTTCCATCTGAAAAGCAGACGACAGCTATATTTGGTGGTAAGGTTCGTGAAAACACAAAACCTAAAATTCTGGGTTGTAGGAAAAAGCAAGCAGTACCCTTCTTCGACTTCCAAAAGCCTTCTCCCAGGCTGGAGGCTGGAACTCAGGTGAGATCAGGGGAGAGGGTGTTTTTGTTTTTTGAGGCCAGGAGACCAGTTAGAAGGTTGCTCTAGCCACCAAAGTGAGAGAGGATGATGGGTTGAAGTAAGACTGTGGCATGGAAGAAAGAAGTGGGTTTTGCTCCATTTAAAAGTCATTAATTAGATGTGGAGAGTGACAGTAAAGAAATCAAGAATGTCTTCCAGGTTGTGACTTAGTCAGCAAGCCAAATGACAGAGTACCCACTGAGACATGGGCTGGAGAGTGAGCCCATAGGAAGCAGAGGGGAATGTCAGCTACCAATCTCCTGATCACCTAGTAGGGATGAACCTGGAGGCAGCTGGAGATCTGTAGAGAAGTCTGGACCTGAGATATGGACTTGGAAGTCATTGATAAAGGACAAAGGTGGCAAATGAAGGTCCTAGAGTGGAGAGCAGATGTCATTGAATTGATGCTCATAGAAAGGTATCCATGAACCCTTTGAAATGATATGCAAAATTTTGTTTATAGGTAGAAATGTACTTTTTTTCCTCCTAAGGAAAGAGTACACCTATAGCTTTCATTGAATTATCTGAAATTAATTAACCCACAGAGGTTGCTGAGAAGGACAAATTGGGGAACACCAATTTAAGAGACAAGAGAACAAAGAAAACTAAGAAGCACAGTCCAAGAAGTAGGATGAAAACCAAGGCATGATGGTTTACTCCCCAAACGTTGTAGCCTGATATCAGAGCTGAAGAAAGCTATATATGGTGATATGCTTAAGGGGTAACAGGAGATAAGTTTGGATGGAGACAAAAAAAAAATAGCAAGGGACTTGGCAGAAACGATATTACTAATGTCCTAAAGACATCAATAATCCCTACTCTAGGGATCATATGAGAACTACAAGAAGATAGAATACCCTGGATTGGACTTTCCCAGAGCAAAATCAGGTCTCGGGCAGTTTAAATGCATTTTTCAAAGATTGATCATTGACTAGCACCATTTCTCTTCCTTTCTGTTTTCTTTTCAGGTTAATTCCTCCATCAAAACCACCAAGAACCCCCAGTTCATGCTAACTTCCATGAAAAATACAATTTAAGGACATCTTACTACCACGTGTCTAAGAACCAGGGTCCACCTATGGTTACACTTCCAGTAGAATGGGAATCTCATTCTGGGATATGTAGGGAAATTCCTGACCATGTCATGTGTACATGACCCTAATGCCCAAGCAACCTCCTGACTCCACACTCCTTCCCTGAACCCTTTCCTAAGACTCTGCCAAGTCAACATCAACATCAACAACAACAACAGAAAAGCACATAAACAGTTTGTAAAGCAAAGACCACAATCAACCTAAATATCTGTCAATAAAGGACTGGTTGAATAAACTGATGAAGAACTATGCAGCTATAAGAATGCAGAATACATCTATATATTGCTCTGAACTTATTTCCAAGATATTCAGTGGAAAAAAAGCAGAGTGTAGAAAACATATATCTTCTTATGGATTCATATGTATGCATATATGCTTACACTTAAACAAAATGAAAAGATAAGCCATACTTTTTTTTTTAATGATCACCCATAAGCAGAGTGGGGAAAAAGCATAGAATAGGTAAGGATAGAAGCTAGATTTTCATGAGTATATTATTTCTTCATAGATTTGATTTTAGAGCCAGTAAATATTTTACATAGTCATTAAGCAAAATTTAAATTATAATATGTCCCTATAAAACAAACAAAACACAACAAAAAAATCCCAAAATGAATATAATTACATATCCAGCTGGTGGTATAACCCCACAAAAACTATTCAAAGTGACTTTAAAACAAGTAATTTGAGTGTACTTCCTTAGTAGAATATTTGTTAAAGACAAAAATAAATGCAAATATGCACTTTTCCTGGCAATTATATATCTTACATATATATACATATATGTGTGTGTGGATATTTTTTTTTTGGTGGGGGAGGTATTGGGGATTGAACTCAGGGTCACCACTTGACCACTGAGTCACATCCTCAGCTCTATTTTGTATTTTATTTAGCAACAGGGTCTCACTGAGTTGCTTAGCACCTCACTTTTGCTGAGGCTAGCTTCGAACTCACAAACCTCCTATTTCAGCCTCCTGAGCCACTGGGATTATAGGCATGTGCCACGGCACCCAGCAGCAATTATACTGTGATGATATTCTAGAACTTTTGCATGTGTATCAAATGAGTAATAATGTTGGTATCATTGAGAAGCAAGAATTTTGATATGGTTGAAGAAAAATACAAATGTAAAATCAATGAGGTTAAATGAAATCTCCACAATTGGTGCTAGATATGAACTGGAATATTAACATAAATTCATGGTGTATTTCATCTTTAAAACACCCACAAAAATATTTTCTAGCTCCATCCATTGAGAATGTCCCTAGGCAATAATAAACAGAGTAAAAAATAGCACCTCCAAAAAACATATTATGTTCTCTATAGACCATTGCCCACTGAAAGGACCAGTAGTCTTCGGAGAACTAGCCGATTTCAGGTCTGATGGGATGAAATGTGCCAATATCTTTACATATTAGAAAGCAAGGAAGCTCCCAGAGGCTTAGGAGGCTGAGACAGGAGGATCATGAGTTCAAAGCCAGCCTCAGTAAAGGCGAGGTCCTAAGCAACTCAGTGATACCCTGTCTCTAAATCAAATACAAAATAGGGGATGTGGTTCAGTGGTCAAGTGTCCCCTGAATTCAATACTTTATACTCCCTACCACTCTCCTCCAAAAAAAAAGAAAGCAAGGAAGCTATCAAATGTTATTAGGATCATGTCCAAAGGACTTAATTTTCAGCCTGAATGTGTTTACACTGATCAAAGGTAAAGCAATTTTAACTATAATGGATTGAAGCAAATAAAATATATTTAAATCCTTGAGTTCATAAAGATAGCATTCTTAAACACTTAGTCTCCTTTGGGAGGTGTTAGGAAAAATCACAATTTTTTAATTTAGTTATTTTGAATTTTAAACTAAGGAAAAAGTTGCAAAAAAATGGTAAAGATTCTGTAAACACTTCACACTAATGTTATCATCTTACATTACCACGGTAGAACCAGGCAACAGGAATTACCATTGGTATGACATGGTCTATTATTTTAATTTTACCACTTTTCTCACTTATGCTGTGTCCTTTTTCCTGGGATCCAACCTAGGATCCTACATTGCATTTATTTGTGTTTTCCTCTTGTCCCTCAATCTGTGATGGTTCTTCGGTTTCTGTGTCTTTCGTGACATTGGCACTTTGAAGAGTGCAGGTCAGGGACTGTAGATGTCATTCAGTTTGAACTGGATCTTTTCTCATAAGATTAAAATAGGCATGCATTTTTGACAAAAACACCATTGCAGTTATGCTGTGCCTTTCTCAGTACATCAGGTCAGGGGGTCATCCACACTGGTATGTCTTGCTACTTGGAATGTTAACTGTGATCATAAGGTTGTCATTGCCACTTTTTCCATGTAAATCCACTATTGTCCTCCCTCATAATATATTAATAAGTAATCTTGTTGGAGAGAGAGTTTGAGATTATGTACATATCCCATTTCTCATTTTCTGCCCACTAATTTTTATATCAATTAATGGTTATTGCTTACAATAATCACAAAAGTGATGTCTCCCTAATGATGATTTTCCTGTTCCTTCTACATTTATTCTTTAGAATTCTGCACTAAGGAAGCGCTTACCTTCTTTCCACTCATTTATTTATGCAACTTTTTTAAACATAAGTGTGGATATTTATTTTATTCTTTAGGTTATAATCCAAAAACATCATCATTTAGTTTCTCACATTTTCCTATATTTGACCATTGGGATTTCCTTCAGGTTGGCTCCTGTGTCCTGCAGACGTGTCCTATGGGTTTCTGAGTGCTTCCTTCCTTTCTGACACCACAAGATGCTTCAGGCTCATCCTGTGTCCTTTTCCCCAGTCCTGGCATCAGCCATTTCTCCAAGGATGTCTGGTTCCTTTTACTAAGAATGGGACTGAGAACCAACATCTGGGTGCTATGCATTCTCATTGCTTCTGAGCTGTCATTGCTTCTAGCTTCTGGCTATGAATTGAATTTGGACAGTGCTCCCCAAAGGTCTAGATGTTAAAGGCTTGGTCCCAGGGTGATGACACTGGGAGATGCCATTGACCTTTAGAAGGTGGAACCAGGTGGGCGGTTCTTAGGTCATTGGAATCATGCCTTCAAAAGTTGGTGTAGGATCCTGTTATTTTCCGAGCTCTCTAATTTCTGGTTTATGATGTGAATGGTTTTCTCCAAAATGTGCTCCCTGTCCAGAACCTTACTAGAGGCCCAAAGAAATGGGGGCCACCTGGTCTGAGATTGGAATCTCCAGAATAATGAACTAAATAAATCTTTGCTCTTTACAAGTTCATTGCCTCAGGTATTTTTTGTAGTAACATAAAGCTAGTACAGTCCTCCTTTCCAACAGTTCTAGGAAATAATTACAGGCATGTATGTATGTGTGTGTGTGTGTATTATATTATATTATATTATATTATATTATATTATATTATATTATATTATATTATATTTTAAAGCATGAGTTGATATTGATACTTCCTATTCCAATCCAATGCCACAGGGTTCAATATAGCCTTCCTCCTTTGTTATTCTTTCTCTGACATTTAGAAATCTGACTCTCACTGGCCACAATATTGTTATTAGTTCAAGCCTAGCATGAACATAGAGTAGTTTTATGATTACTATTTCATATACCAATGAAAACAAATCTTCTAACTAGAGTACAATATTTGTGTGCAGTTATTTTGTTTTTAGCCTTATAATACAGAGTCACAATACTATTTTTAGAAATTACTTAATGTAGTTCTTTTCCCCACACTTTAGTATGGCTATGTTATATATTTATATTATTGTTGGATTTGTTTGTTACTGTTTTTATTACATTTTCATTTTTTCCACATCCTGGTTGACTAAGTAGTTATCTTTTGGGGAGATATATGAAAACCTTATCTCGATTCTAAGAGTCAGAGCTATACAAAAATATATTCACAAAGAAATGTTGATCCTCCCTTATCCCTACTACCTTATTCCCATCTTACCATTTTTTCTCTGCTGGATTCCCCTGTATTCTTCCTGTATTTCTTTTACACAAATGCATAGGTGTATATTTTCTTACATCTACTTTTTTTCTTATAATAAAGGCAGAAATGATAGACATTGGATTTTACTTTGATTTTTTTTTACTTAATAATATATCCTGAAAGTCATTCCATACCAATTCATAGACATCCTTCTTATTCTTTTTTACAACTGTATAGTGCTTCATATGCTTGGTCCATGGTTTATTCAACCATTCTTCTGTGCATGGACATTGAGGTTGTTTCCAAAAATTTGTAATTATAAACAATGCTACCATAAATCACCTTTTGCATATGTTTTTACATACTGTTGGGGGTAGATTCCTGTGAGTGGAACTGCTGAGTCAAAAGTGGAGAGCCCAGTGGTTTTGTTAAGCATTACCAAATTTCCCTCCAGAAGGGTTGTCCCACTTTGTATTCCCTTCAACAGTAAATGAAGGTACCTGTTTGCCATACTTTCAAGAGAATATAGGGTCATACTTTTAAAAATTTTTTTGCCCACTAGATGAGTAAGAAGTTGTATTCAGTTTTGTTTTAATTTGAGTTTCTTTGAGTGCATCTGAACATTTATTTCCCATGTTTCAGGTCCATTTTAATATAGTTCATGAATAGTCTTCACATTTTTTTTTCTCATTTTCTATCAGGTCCCTAGTCTTTTGTTCCTCATTTTTAAGAGTTCTTTACCTACTAGGGACATTTGCCCTTTATCCTTGGTACATAAACCACAAATACTTCCTCATAGTTTGTCAGCTGTCTTTTGACTAGATCATATTTTTTACTTTGCAAATGTCTTATGGAACTGAATTGATCAATATTTTATTTCATTGCTACTAGATTTTAAGTCACAGTTAGAAAACCTTTCCCTATATTTGGAATAAAGAGGAATCACTCATGTTTTCTTCTACTACTGGTATGGTTTTCCTTTCTACATTTAGATTCCCAATCTATTTGGAGACTGCTCTTATGTCTGGTGTGAGATATGAACCTAATTTTGTCTTTTCCCAAATGGCTACCCCACTGTCCCAGCACCATTCATTAAAAAGTCTATCTTTGACATGGAAATTTTAGATGCAACCTTTATCCTATAGTACATTTCCATACGTAGGTGGGTCTATTTATGTGCTTTCTATTCTATTCCAGCTGGTCTATTTGCCTACTCATGCATCCGTATCATACTATTTCCAGGTAGAGACTTTCTCATGGGTTTCAAGTCTGGTAGAGCCAGCTTCCATTATAGGTTGTTTAACCAACATTTTTCCTGTGTATTTCTATGTTTGTTTTTCCATATGAATTTAAGTGTCAACTTATCTAACTCCATAAAAAAAATACTTGTTGGCCCTGAACTAAATTAAAATCATAAATTAGCTTAGGAGTAATTGCCATCTTAAGAATGCTGAGTCATTCTACCCAAGATCACAGTATATCTTGACATTTGTTTTTTGTGTCTTTTCAAAAGTTAAATCTTCTCTTCATATAGGTTTTACATATTTATTGTTAAGTACATTCCTCTGTATTTCTTATTGTTGCTGTTATTACTGGAATTATGTTTTCTAACTGGTTTTTTTTTTGTATATATGAAGATTCCTAGGTATATTCATTTATATCCCGTTAATTTTTGTGCTTGAGTTAGCTTTATCATCGATTCTCTAACGTTTTCCAGATAAACTATCACGTCATTTGAAAGTAGAGTTTTACTAAAGGTTGAGTATCCCTTATTTGAAATACTCAGCACCAGAAGTGTTTTAGATTTGAGACTTTTTTCAGATTTGAGACTTTTTCAGATTTTGGAATATTTTATGTACATAATGAGCTACCTTGGGAATGGGACCCAAGTCTGAGGGCAAAATTCATTTACATTTCATATGTTTCAGCTTATACACAATAAGCTGATGGTAATTTTATGTAATATTTTTGAGAATTTTATGCATGAAACAAAGTTTTGTGGTATAGAATTTTCCACTTTGTGTCACGTTGGTACTAAAAGTTTTCATAATTTGGAGAATTTTTAATTTTTAAATTAGCAAGGCTCAACTTGTATTTTGTTATCCATTGTTATGTCTCTAATTGATTTCTCCTACCTAGTTGTTCTAGCTAAGCCTTTAGAATAATTTGAAAGGTAGAATAATTTGGAAGTTAGTAGAATAATGAGCATCCTCACCTGATTCCTAATCTTAGTGGAAATGCCCCTAGTGTTTTCCCCATTAAATAAGATACTGGCTTTAGTTCTAAGTTTAAATATTTTATCATGTTAAGAAGGTATCCCATAATTTCTATTTTCTGGAGTGTTTCATGAATTGTTATTTTAACCACCATATTATTTTGAAAAATGGTAAAGGTAAAGAAGCAAGCATTTATCCTGCCTTTTCTATATATTCTATACCTACAAGCTTGGGTTAGTTTCTCTTTGTAGAACTACTCCAGCTCATTTACAAAGAAGAAATTATCAAACGCAAATTTCACTATTTGCAACCCCTCATGAAAGGGTCAATCCGATTGAGGATCATCAATAGAGTCACCTCCCAAAAAGAAAAGCTATTTTACATACCTCCTGATAAAAACACACATCATCATCATCTACAAAGCAGTCTTGCCATAAAAGAGAGAGACGGGGAGACAGACACAGAGAGAAGTGGTGAGGGGAGAGAGGGACAAAGACAAAAAGAGAGAACATGAATTAAGCCTCTAGCTCTAACTACCAATTTACAAGAAATACAAGAGACAGAGGGAAATGTCAAACTCCACCAGGAGGCATTCAGTAAAATACAGTTACGGGAACTCTGTGGAACAAATGATATAATTTCTTCAACAATGGATTTAAGGTGGGCAAGAGACAGCAAGGTAGAGGGTGATATGGTTTGGATATGAGTGCCCCCCCAAAGCTCCTGTGTTAATACAGGAATGTTCAAAGGTGAGATGATTGGACTGTGAGAACTGTGACCTAATCAGCCCCTTCTAGGTTGAATAGACTGACTGGATGGAACTGTAAGCAGGCCGGGGAGCATGGCTAGAGGAGGTAGGTCACTGGGGGCATGCCCTGGAAGGGTGCATCTTCTCCAAAGCCCTTCCCATCCCTGCCACTCTACTCTCTGCTTCCCGGTTGCCAGGAATAGAGCAGCACTCCTCTGCCATGCCCTTCCACCATGATGCCCCGCCTCACCTTGTACCCAGAGCAATGGAGTTGGCCCACCATGGACTGAACCTCCGAAACTATGAGCGAAAATAAATTATCTATCCTCTAAGTTGTTCTTCTTGGGTATTTTGGTCACAGTGACAAAAATATGACTAACAGAGGGGGAAAGTATATATTATTTAAAGAAATATATATATATAGTATAGGAGATTTAACCCAGAGGTGCTTTACCACTGAACTGCATACATCTGTAGCCCTTTTTATTTTTTAAGACAAGGTCTCACTATTTTTTAAAGGAACCTCAAATATATATCGACTAATTACAATGCATGGGCCTTACTTGGATTCCAATTCAAATAAAAATACTTGTAATGCAACTTATTGAATATTTGTTTATATTAAGGAATTATTGTTTTTTTTAGCTCTGTTAATATTTTGGGGTTTTTTTGTTTGTTTGTCTGGTTGGTTGCACGGTTGGTTAAAAAGTAAGTCCTTGTCTTTTTTAGATACAGGTGACATATTGGCAAGTGAACAGATATTAGAACTATGACTAAGTTCTATGATTAAGAAGGTAGTAGTATTTCTAAAAGATCGGGCATCTACTAACCATTGTTGAAGCTGATGTTGGGTTACATCAGTTTCATTATTTTACTTTTGTATGTTTTAAATTGTTCATAACAAAATTTTTTTGGAAATTTCTGTATTATTATATTTACTTTGTAGGCTAAATGAGATCAAACGCTGTGGGATGTAGTGGAAACAACCAAGCGCAACCCAGCAACCCACCTATAAGCAATGGTCCCCCTGTCAGACACTAAGCCCTGGAGGGCTCATGGCCAGGTCGCTCCCAAGGGCAAATGGCCATCCAGGCAGCCACTGCCAGCCACCTACTGCATCTCTTGGCAAAGGCACAAAGAGCCCCGACAGTCCCTGTAGCACAAGGAACCCAAGGGATGTGGAGGCAAACAAGGCCCACTGATGTTTTCCTCAGGAACCCAGGGCTGAGAGTCCTGTCTTCCTCTCCTTGCTTCAAAGGACTCCCAGCCGCTTGGACCCCCCACCACCAACAACAGAGAAAGCCCCAAACTCACATCATTCTCCGAGGTCCCACAGAGGATGCAGGATTTGCATTCTATGCACTGCCACTTGTAGGTCTTGACAGCCTCAGTCATGTTCAGGGTGAACTGTAGGCAGGTCGGGTGACCTGAAGGAAACCAGAAGCAGCAGCATTAAGGCCAGAGGTTCTGACCTGTCGCCCGCATACACCACTAGCCCAAAACACATCTAGGCCCAGTGTGGAAAAAGACCAGGGTAACACAGGCTGGGAAACAGGGCCCTCCCCACTCTCCTCACCAACCCTTCCCCATTACATCAGTTGGAGGCCCCAAGGGAGAAACGAGCATTAGTCCCCTTACCAGGGATAAATACCATCCAGCCCCCCTTACTCAAGGAACCATGCCCCCCGTAAGCCTGCTCAGTTGATGAGAGCAGAAAGTGGTTATTGGAGAGAGCAGAACACACAGCATAAGGCAGCGCCCGGAGACACCAGCTGTATCTCCCAAGGCCCAGCTTCAGTCATGGCAGAAGGAACACGTGATTGGTTAGGTGGGGCTTCCTGATCACACTGCCTTGGAATACACGGGAGGAGGTCAGAAGATCATATAAAGGTTTCCAGGGACGGTGCTCAAAGGCAGTCAGTGGCATTACACTGTTATCAAGAGTGTCTGTGCTCACAGCCATGGGACTAGCAAAAGACTAAGCCCTGAACAGTCCCAGGGACTACAGAAGGAAATGAGGCAGGGGGGTTGGGGATCACCCTTCTCCAGAGCTTCCAACTCTGCCATCCCCACTGTATGGTGCATCCGATTGCCTCTTTCATGTGAGGGCGTTTGGACCTTAAAGGATACTCTAGACAGGGACAGCAATTAGGGTGAGCTCCACCTAGTGCCCTCCAAGGACAGGATCCCATATGGTAGGTACCTTGGGCCAAGCCATGTCCCAGCAGGAGGTGCGCATGTCTTCCTTTCAGACCCTCACAGAGTAGCAATTCTCCTGAACTCTAAACCTATGTGTTCCACTACACACTTGACCTTTCCATTGGAAATCTCACAGACTTCCCAAATTGAACCCACTCAAAACAGAATGACTCTTCTCCTCAATTCTCTCTCTGTGTTCCTTCTATAGTCTTCCTCGTCTGAGTAAGTTTCGTTGCAATCTGTCCACCTCCCAACACACTTTTCACCTAAAAAGGGGTCCCTCCCTCCCTTCCCTCCTTCCTCCCTTTCTTCCCCTCCTCCCTCCCTAACTCCTCTCCTTCTTTCCTTCCTGAAGATTTACATTTTTATTTGTGTTTTCTTACCTTAAAAGATCTTTTCACCTATTTGCTTGGAAATAATGATAGCTTTGTAGGAAATTACAAAATACAGTCGCAGACCAGAGGTAGACATTTAGGAGCTTTTGCTAAATAAGTGGTAACTGAAACCATAAGAATCAATGAAATCATCTAGGAAAAAGAGAACAGAGGGAGAAAGGAAAAGAAGAAAGGAGAAGAGAGGAAAAGGTCTAGGACTGAGCTTTGGGGAACTCAACTATTTAAATATCAAAGGAAAGAACCAGCAAGGAAATAGAAGGAGGGTCAGAGGTAAGAAGCAACCTAGGCAAGTATGGGGTGATCATAGCTAAAAGAAGAGATCCCAAGAACGAGGATTTGGCTTACTGTGTTCCTGCCACAGGTTCTTGAGCTTGTCGTTGCTCCATTAAGACCCTGAGTGGGGGAGTGTTGGCAGATCAGAGCAAACGCACCCAACTAATAATAGCACTCTCCAGAAGCGCCTTCTTCCTGAGGAAGGAAGGTCAGTGATTCCAGAATGTGGCAGACCTGTGCATCTGGAGTTAGGTCCGTGGGTGGGACGGGCCTGGTGTGTGGGCTTCATGCACCCAGCAACACTCCACAGATATTTGTTGAGAGCCAACTCTGTGTCCAAGTTCTCGTAGACTGTGCTGTGCTCTGAAGGCATTTTCTGAGATTGATTTGGACAGAATGGTAGCAAGCAGGTTTGGAAACTCCTTGGAAGTCTGTGAAAAATTCCCACAGGCTTCTCAAGATGGGCTCTGGCTGCAGAGCTCCTGCTTCTCAGAACTCAAGACTTATCACTCAAGTGTGAGAGGAAAGAAGGGGATGGAAAGAGTATTGCAAATTTTCGACCAGGGAAAGGACAGGGCAGTCATGCAAACAGCCGTGGGCAGGTGAGAATATTGTGCCCAGAATTAAATCCTCCTGTCAGTGCCACTATACCAGGTCAGAAGACTGTTTCCTCGATCCAGAAAGTGGAAAACTCATTTGCCATATAAAACTACAAGAATAAGATTTCTTATCTACCATGGAAATGACTTAATAATGCATACTATTGGACAAAAGAAAAAGCTTCTAAGGAAAGTGAAGCTCATTTCTAAGTTTTACTGCTAGGACTCTTTATTTGGGCCCTGAACTAATTCCTGAGACCCTTGGAGGTAAGAAATAACAGATACAGAATTTCCAATCCAAGGTTGGAAGAAAAAAAGGGTGCATTGCTATAAAGCAGTTCACTTATAGATTCCTATCTTGATCTCTTTGTAAGTTAATCACCAGTTTCTAATGTACTTACTTGGAAATTTCAATTTTCCAGGTCTTCAGTTTTCTTAAAGCAAGGAATACCTATTTTGCTATTTAAATAGTCCAATGTATTGAAAAGGGAGACAACTCTTCCCAGGTCCCTCTGGGTGCAGTGATTCAACAGAACATTTATAAGATTCCAATTACCAAAATGAATTTAGAAAGTGATGCAATGTACATGATTCATCCCAGCCAGAATATTACACACACACACACACACACACACACACACACACACACTCCATTCCTCAGAGCTCCTCCAAAATTGTTCTATCAGGAGAATTCAGTAAATTTCCCACCCACTTGCTTAGTTGATCCAGTAATGCACTTGGTGTAAGGAGGCATTCTTCATCCAGCCTTAATTCCTTCCCAAACTGACCTCAATTCTCCCTAGAGTTGAAACAGGAAATGTCACCTATGACCACTATATACAGGAAACCAAACTCCTGGGCTGAGCTTTTGGGTAATAGGGATTTGGCTTCAGGGTACCATTTCAGCAGATGGGAAGAAAAGGGAAACAGTAGGATTTGGGAAACTTCTCAGACAGAAGACAGGCTTGGAATACACGGGAGGAGGTCAGAAGATCATATAAAGGTTTCCAGGGATATAAAGACAGGCTGTGAAGCTGGAATACCAGATGTTTAGGGCACTAGAGTCAACTGAGCTCAATAAAAAGAAGATGGGCTTCTAGGAGCAATGACGGCTGCCTTGCCACTCAAAGAACACATGTGCACAGATGTGGAGAATGTTCCAGGGGCAGCAAGTGGGATTTGGGGCATTCTGGGGAGAAGACACAGAAGTAAGTATTCGTGCAAAACCAGAGTTAGTGCTACATTCACAGATGCCTGTATGTCTCTATCCAGCTGCCCACGAATATGGATGTGTTCAACCTTTTGGGGAAGAAAATATTTAAATACACCTTGTTGATTAAGCTCATGTTATGATGGTGACTTAGCAGCTAACACAACACACTAACCAGTCAACCTCGCCCCACAGATACTCGATACAGTGAGAGAAACAGTTCATTTTCAATAAAGCCTTGGCAAAAACTAATATACAAACTGCTATGATGTGTCTCTTACATTATGACCCTTATTAAAAGAGTTTTTTATTTCATTATTGCCAGTATTTAATTTGGACTAGGCTCAGCCACACCACTGATTAAATTAGAGGTCTAGGGAAAAAATTATCTTGCTAGGTTTGTGCTGAAAATATAAATAAAATAGCTACAAATAACTGTGGAACTAGCATGGTCTATTATTTATTCATTGTGAAATTATAAACATCTAATTATATTTTATCACCTTATTTATCAATGTTGATCTCTCCAAAAACTAATTTCTCAGGAAAGGAGAACCTAAATATCCATGGTCTCAGGCAAATAAGTACAAAATTCAAATTGTGCTCTAGAAATCATATTATAACAAAACACACAGCATCAATTTCAACCTGAAATAACACCAAAACAAAGTTTCCATGTGCATTCATTAGAAAATAATTTGGCAAATTTCTAACAGTTTTCTATACTCATACACATGTGAAATTTTTAATATTTACATATTGCATGCAAATATATATGAAGCTTTAGCTAAAGTATTTTTGCAAAGTACAGTTAACTGAATCATCATGCTAAAGAGTAATTTGAGGAGAAAAAAAATATATTACTAGCTCACTTTGGGAAGACAACTCATTTAATCAGATCCATTTCCATTCATATTTCTTTCTCTCTCTTCTCTCTTCTCTCTTCTCTCTCTCTCTCTCTCTCTCTCTCTCTCTCTCTCTCTCTCTCTCTCCATTCCTCTCCCAACACCCTCCATTTGAGACCCAGAAAGAAGCCTCTGATTCATTACATCATTACACTTAATCTATAAAGAGGTACCCCAATTCTAAGCAATCAAAAATCTAAACTCTTTACATATATATTCTGACTAGCATATTAACAGTGCTTCTTGTGTATTATTTCTTCAGTTCTACTTCTCAAACCTTCTGCAATGGTCTGCAAGCTCCCCTCTGTCTGTCTAGAAGTTACTTCTTATGCTGCAGACACCCACAGATTCCTAACCACAATGGCAGTCCAGAGCCAGCTGAATGGCTCCCTTTTTTTCTTACCATTTTTTATGTACTTCAAAGAGGACAAAGAAGAGAAAGAGAGTGGAAAGGACAGAGACCAAACAAACAAAAACACATTAAAAATAAATGATGGTGTGAGCTGTGGCTGCCTTTTGCTTGGGCAAAACACCTTACCGTGCAGCAAGTTCAATACGTCTTTGAGGTCTGCTTACGCTCCCTCTCAAGCTGTCAAGCTCTTCGACACCCAGGTATCATGTGGCATGCACACCACAGGGGTTGCTGCACCAATCATTATTATAAATAAACATGCACAGCACATTATGCAAGAAGAGCAGGGGGACTTTTGATGGACTAAACAGCAAAGGGCTCCTGGTGCCATTCTCAAATGGCCCTAGAAATCCCCCATTTTCACTGGTCGAATATGGTCCAAAGTAGAGTCTTCTGGAAATGGATCTACGCCCATCTATAAATGTGAGGACATC